ACTATGTTTCTACGTCTAGAACATCACTACATGTCGTCACTATAGTGGCAGCAGTAGTAGCAGTAGTAGTAGCAGTAGAAGTAGAAGTAGTAGTAGTAGTAGTAGTAGTAGTAGTAGTAGTAGTAGTACGACCACTACCACTACCACTAGTGCGTGAGTATCTGTGTGCGCGGTGGTGGGGGCGGTGGTGGTGGTGGTGGTGGTGGTGGTAGTGGTAGTGGTAGTGCTACAGTCGTACGGCCAGCCCTTCGCCAAAGCTTTTCACTCCTAGTCTCACCTGCGGAATTCTTCAGAGGGAGAGACAGCGAGAGAAAGAGAGAGTGAGGGTTCACAATTATTATTTTTGGCCACTAGAAGACACACATATTTCAAAGTAAACTAACCCGGGGAACCTAGCATTCAAGAGCGTCGCGCAGTTCAAGACGTTGCCACATTAGTCGCGAACTCAATAGTGTGCCATCGTGCCTCTAGAAGTTTCCATCATGCACGCGGATTCGTCGAGCTGTTGCAACTGAGGGTGCAGGCACTTCCGAGCCATGCCTGCTACATGAAGTCTGCGGATGTAGCGGCATTTGTGCAAAGTCGCACTCATTCTCTGGCAGTCGCGCGACGCGCCTCGGTTGCGAACAGTCTCAGACGTTGACACACGAGACCGGGCATGTATGATCTCAGGCTTGTCGTCGAAGACGGAGTCCTCGTCTGATGCCAACAGGTGCTAGACGCGCCAAAGCAAAAAGCACTTAGAGTGACCCGATTCTGCAACTGCACGGGCAAGGCATGGCAGTTGCTGGGGCGAAACTGGGCTCGACTCATATCGTCTTGTGTCAGACTGTTCTGCGAGTGTGCCAGGAAGTTGCTTTTCCACTACACTCACAAGGCGTCCTTCGACAGAATCGTAAGGACGCATCTAGCCTCCTGCATTGACCTGTCCTGGATTGCGGCTGGGACCTGAACAGCTTGGTGTAGATCTCCAAATCGAAGGATTTTCGCCTCCGGTGAGGAGAACTCTGAGGACCCTTGCCAACGTCAGGAGAGATTGAGGCTTGTGACCTCCGGCTTCGAATGCCAGGACGAGGTGAGTCCAGAGAGAGCCGTCGCCTCAGAAAGGGTGCGAGACTGTGGGAAGACTTTGCAGAGCAGTCTCAGGAGGAAGGGAATCACCAGACAGCATGTGGCCCAGTTGTGTTTTGTCACATTTGCCTTATCGGGGGTCGCATCAAGACGCATCACGTGATTACGATGCCCCTTCCTGTGCTGCCAAGGCTTACACACGGATCATTGACCAAATCCAGGCCACTCCCGATGTGCTTTATGTGCAACGGAGAAGACAAGCACGCCAGCCCCCAGTCAGTCAAACACTTTGTCTCCGCATGGGCTTTGATGAAAAGAGAAGCACAGGCTGATTGGGACGACCGTCATGCTGCACAAGGGAACACCAGGACACAGTAGCAGGTTCAATTGACTTGATCCCATCAGAGCCATGTAGCATCCTAGATGCAAGCAGCATTAGCGTCTCCAGTTGACCTTCCAACAGCAGCGAAAAGGAGCGAACAGTTGTCATTGTAGCTGAGCACCGATTGTAAGCCACACTACTCAACAATTCAGGCGACTGCTTTAGCATCACTTTAAGTTGTACTTTCGTAAACACTTCATCGACTGCCTGCACAGTACATGGTTTTGCCCATGCTTCATCAAATTTCACGTGCTGACACGGTTGAGCCTTTTCTCTTCCCAACAGGCGGGACCCCGCAACACACGCCATTGTGACCACCTGTGGTCACAGACACTTAGACGATTTCCCATCTATGCATATATTTTTACATATGGGCATAACTTTGGTATTTGGCGATCTGTATATAGTATGGCATGACCCTGATACAGCATAGGAAGAACACAAGATGATCTAACACCATGTACGTCATGTAAGATCATTTCGCGACATGTAAAGGCATATAATGGCCCAGTCTCCAGTTTTGTATGATACCGTATCATACAGGATAACCTAATATCAACATAATGTGGAACAGCGCAAGAGAGTATAGCAGAGAAACACAATACAATACAAGGACCATAGCATGGAGCAATGAACTACAACATAATGTAATATGAGGTATTATAATGCAGTATACGTAATTTCCACATAAAATAACGTAGGACAGTGTAAATAATGTGATGGAATGTGACGTAAGGTGTTATACTATTGCACAACAATGCATAGCACAGCATAGCAAAACAGAACATTACATAACACAACATAACCTAGTTCATCATAACATAGCACTGTAGTCTAGCTTCATACAACCCAATATAACATCGCATGATCTAGCCTAACATACAATAGACTGGGTTACGAGGGTGTATGTTTGCATAAGACACCACAGTAAAAAATGACATAACATAGTATGTGGTAGAACAGATAACGCAACACATGGCATAATATGATACAGCATCATAAAACATGATAAAGCAAGCACCCTTTCGCAAAACATAGCACAATACAACAACAACCGAATATGCAGTTACGTAATGCATCTCAAAGTAATGTAATGTAGTAGAGCAGAATCGAATATACTGTAGCAGAATCAAATATACTTTAGATTAATCGAATCTAACATGGCATACTGCGATACAACATAATGTCATACCAAATGCTGCTATACCCACGCAAACAGTATTGCAATGAAGAAACGCACGCATACATATTTGTACACATAGGTATATAAATGTGAACATATTTACACATATGCACACGCACACGCATGTACACAAATCTACCCACACATATGTATGTATGCATGCATGCATGTATGCACGTATGTCCGTCTGTCTGTGTGTATGTATGTATGTATGTATGTACGTATGTACTCATGTACATATGCATGTGTCCACCTGTATATAGACATATATATATATATATGTATATATATACAAACAATTGTATGTGTATATATTTATGTGTGTATGTATGTACTTACGTATGTATCTGTCTGACTATCCATATAACTACCTGTCTACTTGTTTTTGTGTATGCATGCATGCATGCATGCATGCATGCATGCATGCATGTATGTATGTATGTATGTATGTATGTATGTATGTATGTACCTTGTCAACCCACGGATGTTTTGCGTTGGTCATGATTCAATGCAGCTTACTACATGAATGTTCGGAGCAAGCCGCTGCAGTCACGCAAGGAGAAATGATCCGGAGCTTCTGGTCCGCGAGCCAGGAAGGTTCGCCTCTAGACAGGCCGACCGTGCACGGGAGGAGGCGGGAGCCTGTGCAGAACCCATTGGCCTTCGTCCTCCGACGAGGCGTTGAACCAGGCGCTGTTTGGCGTTCCGAGGCCGCGTCACAGAGGCTGCCTAAGGGCAGATCGAGACTGCATGGTTGTGACAGAGGCCCGGCGGCACGACGATGTCAGGCCAGTTCCTGGTGTGGGGGTTTGCTCACATTTTTGACGAACCCACATGCCTGTTTTGACTTTGCATCGTCTGGTGCACCAGCTGACCAGAGCAAGTTTCAATTCGGGGACGGGTGATTGGCAGGTCACAAGCTTGCGGAGGTTGGGAACTACTGCGTCGCAGTGTTGGCTCCAGGTCGTGACCTCAGTGGACTCAGTGGTTTAGCTTTGCTGCAGGGCATGCCCTTCCTCGAATCAGTCGGCTTGCATGTTCAATAGCGCTCATCACTTTGCAGGCCATGTGGCGGTTTCGAGCCACGCCAACGCTCGTGGCATTGCTATGCAGATTGACAGGCTTAATGCAGATGCTGGCTTTTCACGACCTTGGCAGCAACCCTTCATGCACAGGGAAGCTCTTCGAAACCTGCACCATCAAGCTCAGCTTCGCCGGGAAAACTTGGCAAAGCAGGCCCGACTCTGATCTAGGTCAACCTCCGCCGACGCGTGGCGTGCCTTCTTTTGGCGTCCAGGCCGAGGCTGAAGAGCGCGCTGCCGAAGAAGCTCGGCGGAAGCCTCAGACAGCGAACGCCCAAGAGCCCAAGAGTCAGATCAAGTTCTGCACGCTGCAAGCTGTCAGAAGCTGATGCAAGGCGTGCCAGGCGATCCTGCCTTGGGCGGCTTTGTGGAGGCGCTCGGAAGCGGCTTGGGGGCTTCAGGCTTCAGTTGTACTGGTCTGAAGGAGGCAAGGACACGCCACAGTACTGGGACGAAGAGGCGAAGGACGAGGAGAGTGAAGGCAGTGAAGGTTACGATTTTTACGATTACTGTGGCTGGCCACATCTTCTGGCAGGATCAAGCAGAGGCTCGTGCAGACGTCAGCAGAAGTGGCATGTGGATGCAGGGAGATTTGTGTTAGAAGGGTGTCTCGAGTAGTCGGGCAGACCTGTATGAAGATTGGCTTCAGGTTGCGCTTCTGGATGCTTGCGCTTCACCTGGCAGGAAGGGGGCCGAACTAACCGAAGGAAGCGCGAGGCTCTTTGCCCGCGAATTGCGTTTGTCTGCAACTACAAATCGTGTTTCAGATTTACAAGGCCTTTCTACGGGCAGGTGGACAAAGCTAAAGCAGAAAAGATCAAGACGTGGACGAAGGAGTTTTCTGAACCTCCCACGGCACAGCACAGAACCATTGTATGAGAACAGCAGCAGAGAGTGAGAGATGGCAGCCTTATTTCGTACACTTCGATGTTGTCGTCGTAGCAGCACTCCTGCGCAGGAGCACTTCGTCGCAGTCAAGGATCTAAGGCCGGTGTTTACTTCGCCCCACCCGTTGGCTCATGGATTCAGAGTCCTGTGCGAGGCGAAAGGAGCTTGAAGTTCGATGCTGAGTCGATCTGACCGTTCTCGAGCGTGACACCACGGTGCAAAGTGCATGAAGTCATGAAGCTTACTCAGGCAGAAATGGCTGAAGCGGTGGTGCTGACATGTTATTCACCTCGGTGTCTCAAGTCTTGCACCAGCTTACACCCAGCATCATCCCACAGTCACTTCTATTCTATTCTAGCATGCATTGCTGGATCGAGGGTGAGCTGCTGCCAGGAAGAAGGCAAAGCCAAGGCCGCGCCGTTCAAGTCTCAAACAGACACGTGGCGACTCAAATGCAAGACAACAAAATGCAGGCACCGAAGCCGGGCTTGCCAGATGCTTACACTAATCCGGATTCATAAATGGACAAAAGGGCTTGGATGTGGATCCTTTCATCCAGCGAACTCGCTTGTGACCTCCCGGGTGCAGAAGATATGTCTCAGGAATGTTGCAGAATCTGAGCAGCGGCAACAAAAGCGCAGAACAGCAGCCCGAGGCGGGAGCAGCTGGAGCTCTTTGCCGGCGCCTTTTTGCTTCTTGCAAGTAGCTACTGCATTGCGGCTGTCAAGATTCATGCTGCAGATGCAATTTCTCGGTGCAGCAAGGTGCAGACCAGTCGGGGTAATGGGATGGTATCGAGGATGCAATTACACGCGCACCACTTCTTAGGTTGCCAATACCAGAAGATTCTTGCAGAGAATGGCCGGCATCAAGGACCTAGACGTATTGATAACGGTTGATCCGAGACCCTAGAGTCGTTGTCTGGCAATTCTTCCGACTGCGCTGTTGCTGACAAATTTCCGGCGGGCGGTGCTGTTCAAGTACACTGACATGGGGGCCCCCTGCTTCCTGAGGCCCTACAGTTCCAGAGGACCTCTGAGTTTTTCGTTGACTGGGGCAATGGGCTCGGCAGGAGATGGATGATGATGCGCTTGCTCTGTACCGAGAACACGTGGAGAAGGAGCAGCTTGTGGGAAAGGGTTCCAAGGCTCAGCTGGCAGAAGCTTTGGAATTTTACAGGAGGCAGCGAAGAAATCAGCGACAAGTGCTTTGGAAAGACTGAAGTGAGCTACTCGGAAGTAGGACGTAGCTGAGAAGTTCTGTGGAAATTGGTGGAGAATTGCGGGCCAAGCTATCTCCGAGGTCGGGTAGAGGTGCCAACAGCGTGATGCTCGTGAAATCGACCCGAAGTGAAAAGGGCGATCGGAGCAGGCACAAACGCGGACACGATGCAGTGGCTTGAATGGGCTTCAATTTTAATTTTGCGACGAAACCACGGCACTCACCAAGCCATACTGAGGCTCACCTACTGTTATCACGCATGTTGGCAGGATCATGGGACGTGCTGCCACCGTCAAACTGGAGGCTCGCCGATTTGCGGATTTTGCTGCGGAAGCATTCTGATGCGGTGTCCGGGCCTCACACATAGCTGGCAGGCAAGAGAAGACTCAGATGAGGAGGAGGATGAGCATGGTGTGGACAAGACCACACATCTGGACAAACGGACCGAAACCTCTGCCAGACTTTCGTGCAGTCACTGTAAAGCCCCATGTCGGAGCTGCAGGACTCGACATGGCAAGCGGAGGAAGAGGAGATTGCGAAGGAGAAGGAAGAAGCCTGCTGAAGCTGTGGGAACCTCGCCAAAGCTTGGATCACGTTAAGAGCTCCTAAATTAAAGCCTTGCCTACTGCTACTCAGATCTACCTAGCTTGGCTTATGTTCCCAGACGCAGATGCATTTGGCGTGAGTTCCCACGTGCTGAGGAGGCGCCTTCGACGGACCAAGCGAAGCGCAGGAGGAGGCAGCAAAAACGGTCGACCCGGGCAGTGGGAGTGAGAGTCCAGTGGGCCGAGTCGCGCCAGGAGGCTCAGGAGGCTCCGACTACAACATCTCCAGCTCAAGACTCTGGTCAAGCGTCTGACCCAGAGAAGGAGAAGGGCGAAGAGGAGGAAGCCTCCAGCATGAGCGCCTCCTCGTCGGATGGCAAGTCGTCCGAGTCATCTGCGTCATCCAGCGACACTGAGCTCGGACCTTGGCTGTCCGTGCCGCAATGTAGCACAGCTGCGTGATACTGGCAATACTGGCCAAGGTCCAGTGACAAGCGCTAAAAGGCGAAGCTAACAATCACGAAGACGACATCATGAGGATTGCGGACGTGTCAGATGTCCCCTTCGTTCCGAAGCAGAACTCGACAGCCCTGTTGCTCGGCTAGGCGTACTTTTCCTAAGGGAAGTGCTTCACGGCCTTCCTGTCCGACTGCATCAGATGACAGTGATGTGGAAGACAGTCCGCTGGGGTTTGCTGCTGGACAATGCGGCGCCGGATGACTACTCCACCGCAGACTGCATCGGCTTGACTGCCGGATGTACGTCACAGGACGACTTCCCCACCATGGCGATGTCGGGTCTTGTGAAGACAGTAATGAGGGCTGTGCCCGGGACAAAGGATCTCGATCCGTGCCAGCGCCTGGCGCCTGGTGCCGTTTGTACCAGTTTGGCAACAACTGTACATAGTCTTGCATCTTGCTACGAGCATATAGCATTCCCACAGCACTCCCCCGGACACGCAGGAGAGCTGTAGCCGAATCTGGCATGGGGTGCGATGCTCGACAGCACGCTTTGGACATCGGACACAACTCTGAACTGCAATCCTTGCTAAGTGAAAACGGATCCTAAGCCTAAGCAGCGCAAAGCCAAAGCCCTCAAACGCATTATTTTTTCTTACTATTTTTTCACTCCGTTACTCCTGAAGGCTGGCCGTCTCTCCACTATGCCACCGGCTCGAACTCGAGCCCCCGATCGGGGCAAGAGATCAAATGCAGACATCAGACGCAGTGTGCGCAGACGTTCGAGTTTCGACGTAAGACTGACACAAGCTGCGCCCAGCTTCTTAGACATCTTGCGGAAGAGCGGATAGCGGCTCGGACGACCTCTCTTCACCGAAAGCAACTTAATTAGAAGAAGATTTCACACGGCTTTTGATGACCCGGCCGGGCTCCTCACATGTGCCCGGAGCCTTGTCAGCTGAAACCAAGCATGCGTTGAATCGCGACACCCCGTTGCGTTGAAGGCCTGGTTACCGTCAAGCCCGCCCCGTCAAGGCAACGCGGGAAGCGTGTGTGCTCCGAGTGCTGGTGGTATGCAGACCAGCTGCATGTTGACACTGAGGTGCTGGTGTGGCCGCAGCCAGATGAAGCGGCCCAGAAGGAGGTGCATTGACTTTGATCGGCAGAATTTCGTCCTCGCGCGAGCGTGAGAGAGTTGGCTGGTGGCAGGTGGACATACTTCCCGATGTTGGACAGGACGAGCTTCTAGATGCGGGGGGCTGAGCGAGAGGCGACGAACTTCGAAGGTCAAGAGCATGTCATCGCGGCGTCTCCGTGAAGCTGTGGAGTTAGTTAGGGCTTAGTGGCTTAGTGTGTAACTGAGCCTGCTGCGCTTTAGCGTGAAGCAGAGCCACTAAGGCCACAACTTATGTCCGAGAAGGCAACGCCAGCCCAAAAACAGCCGAGCAGCCTGCAACAAGGCAGCGCAAACGAAGCTCTGTGTAACGATATGTCAGGCTCGTCATGGCACATGCGACGGCTGCCAGGAACCCATCATCGAGACTCACCGACAAGGAGGTGCGACTTCGGGTGCCGTGTCTCCTGCTTTGCCCGGTCAAAGGGTTGCTTGCTTTGGTCAAGGCCACGGAAAGGTCCTTGGCCGGTGCTTTGCTGGTGCCTTACGAGGACCCGCGCGCCGCCTTCAGATCCATCACTGCACAAGTGACAGGGTTTCTGGCATCTTCATGTTGTTCGAGAGCATGGTTCAATCCAGACTAGTATGAGTGTTGGCCGGCAGGGAGACAGTGTTAGAAGGAACCTTCAAACGCTTTCTGGCAGTGGGGGGGGGGCCACTGCCAGTCATTCCCAGATCCTCGGACCGCTGATGCAGTTTTCGCATCCATCACTGTCGCAGCAGGCGGGTGCCACGTGCCACTTACTTTTACATACTGCTGAGAGAAACCTGCCAAGCTATGCGAAACTGAAAAGGCATCTCGATGTTAGCGACATCTAACAGTCACGACAAAAAATGTCATCTAGGGTGAACTGATGTGAACTGTGAACGGTCGACCCTCACCGTCTCTGGGTGAAGCCGCAGGAAACGGAGACCTGCCTTTTCATACTTCGGTGGCCGGAGGCAGACTGCTTCCAGGTTGTCTCGTCAGTTCCGCCCTGCCGACGCCTGCCAGGTCCTGGCTCGAGTTGCTTGCTTCGTGCCATCTCCTCAGAGCCAGGGCTCTGTGGGTCCTTGCAGAGGCTTTGGTTCCGACTCAGGACTTTTCGCATAGGCCCTGTCGGGACAGACGGACTTGTGGTGCGCAGCGAGTCCATCAAGGCAGAAGGGAAGAGACCATGCACCAAACACATCCGCATGGTGGCATCGGGCGACGTCACTGTGTGGCTGCGAGTCTGTGACATACATAACACCATGTTATCCACCGTGTGGGTGACATTGGGACAGCCTTACCACGTCTTCTAGTTCCAGGATGTAGCATAGATTGCTTCCCTGTTGCAGGTCGCTGGCAACTGGCCAAGCGGATCGGACTTGGAATGGGTGCGGATCTCACTCAGAACGGCGGCCTCCGAGAAGCTTTAGCCTTGCTACTCTCCGTAATGTCGTATTTGGGCATCGAGTGAACACAAAGTCTTTGATGGCGTTCCTCCCGCGAGCTTCCCACGACCCTCTGTGTGAGTTTTTTAGTATAGCACGCACTCACAATGCATGCATGACTGCATGTATACATACATGCAGCGGGGTAGGTGCACACATCCATGTTTGCATAACGTGTACAACATACGCAGGCCCATATCTCTGTGTGTGTGCACATATTACACACTCATACAATGTGTGTGTGTGTGCATATACATATATATACATGTATATATGTATATGTACACATGTATCTATACATGTATCATCATGTATCTATACATCTATATATATATATATATCCATATATATACACACAAACTCGCATACCCACGTGCATATACCAATCAACATACATGTATGTATATCTATATAGACACACATAAATTTCACATACACACATTTCAAAAATACATACATAGATACATACATACATACATACATACATACATACGTACTTACATACATACATCCGATACAATCGGACACAGACAGACAGAGACATACATATGCCTAAGCATGTGTACATGCATAGCAGAACATCTAACAAGAATACTTCTTACACACGCGAACAGGGCAATTACGTCAATACTTGCGGGGGTGAGAGATAGCGACGCAGGTGTGTGCTCACTTCGCTGAGCTAGGGTAGAGTAGAATTGCAGCAGACACCACGCCATGTTGCAGCACACTGTTGCTTGACCAGCTCGCCCCGAGAGTTTGTGTAAACACAGTGCAAGGTGCTTCGGGGGCTTCCGCTCGCCAAGATTGCAGCAAAGAGTCCATTGGGTGAGCCCTTGGATCCTTTGGGCTCTTGTGGGCTGTGTGGGCTGTCAAGGTTTGCGTATGTTGAAGCTGTCCTGCCTTTGGCTGTCTTTGTGTGTTTTGATGCAGTTACGCCTTATCGCCTGCTCGCCTGCAAAGTTAGTTCACTGCCACCCACATGAATCCAGCTTGCAATTGAGTTTGTTCAGACTTAACTGACTTATCTTCCCTAGCACTTGCCCAGCCTCATGACCACCCTTCTGCGATAGGAACCACACAGAAGCACATAAGAGCAGCATGGGCGCCAACCACCCCAGAAGTCACTCCATGAGTACGTGACGCTCTGCACGTGCAGCGCAACTGGTATCGCCGAGCCCTGGGCTCCTCGGAGAAATGGTCCTGAGATGGCCGCTACACAGCCTCTTGCCGGGCCCTTAGCCTTGGCGTGCCTTGGCGTGCCTTGGCGCCTCAAAAGGCCAGTGATGGCGTGCGAAACGCAGCTTAGGCCCGCGCTGGCCTTCGCTGCAGGTTGTGGCCAGTGTTCATCTCTCTGGCCCATTCTGGCCCCAAGACCGTGGCAGGCGATGTGGCGTACATTGATCGCTGTCATCCCCCGTGTGCTGCTCGAAATTGTCAATGGGCGAGGAACCACGAGCATGGCTTAGGAGGAGCGCGACAGGATGACCATGACCAAGAACCAACATGAGCCAACCCGTACTGCATGCATGCCTAAGCCCTAAGCAGTGATTATACCCAGGTCATGGATGAATACGGCGGAGTTGGAAGATGTTTACAAGGCAAATTGTGCAAAGGCTGGATGTGCTTGCTACCATGAAAGGTGCATCAAGCGATGTAGTAAGAAGACTGGATTCGCATCGATCTCTCAATCAAGTGGGCAGTGCTATTCACGGGTGCGGAGTTCTTGTGCCACTACTGCAAGTGTCCGCAGGTAACAAATGCCACTCTTGATTTCAGCGAGTTTCAGCTTGGCTCTCAGGGTTGTAAGAGTGCAGCAGACGACGGACTTGCAGCGGAACTTCCGGGACGACGAGCTATTCGCATCGTGCTGACGTCGGCATCTCTGGGATCCGAGGTGGAAAGTCAGCGATAAGCAGAACGAGATCTGGAAGGGACGCAGCGATGTCCCCGAGAAAGATTGTGCCGCGGCTCTGCCGGGATCGGGCCACTTGCCGAGGTCAAACGGCCCTGATGCTGTGCAGGGCGGCCAGGCAAAGAGTTCGGCCACACGACTCAAGCGACAACTGAAAGCCGCGCAGTACTCATGAGCCAAATTTGTCTGCAGGGCAAACCTCGAGAAGAACGATGTCAAAACGGCGGCTGAGCTTGCGGTGCAAGCATGGGGGTCACGACCTCAAGCAAACCACCGATGCTAGCAACGCAGGTTCGCTTAGTAGTGTGGTGGCACAAACCTTCTTCATCGTGAGGCAACACATTATGAACGGCACAGTCTGTGAGGAGCCCAGGGACAAGTAATGTTGGCGAAATCCCTTTTCGTGCATCCCGATTCGCAAAGTTGCAGCAGGGTCAGGGTATTTGCCAGGGCTCCGTCGTAGTTGAGACTTGTCTGACCTGCACTGTCGGTGTGCTGTCTTGTCGCTTTAAGCTGCCGCGGTCTCTGTGCTCGCAGAGGTTGCCCGCTGCCCCACGCACCCTTCTGCCTGGACACGCGTGCATCGGCCACGTCCTTCATAGCAGCGGCCTCGGCAGAATCTCCCGGGCAGTGTCCTACTGGTCGGGTTGAGTAAGGCAACTCAGGCTTAGGTCTTTGCAAACAGTTGTAGGGTTTGTTCAGTACGTCAACTGTTGTACTCTCTGCTTGCTTTTTGCAAAGTCTGTTTGATCCGGTCACAGGTCTACATACTTTTCGGCTGGATGGTCGTGATGTTTCTGGGCTCGCTCTTCGCGCACAGACCTCATTCGGCAGTCAGCATCGGCCGGCAGGAGGAGCGAATTGAAGAGACAAGAGCCGCAGGGTTCTGGGCTGCAGTCATCAAGGTCGATATTCTTACGGCCTCCCAAAGAGGAGGACAAGGTGCATCGTTGCCGTGATTCTGCGGACTTCCTACCTTGCCCTTGCCGAGATTCGCCGCCGAGATGTTTTGAAATCTGCATCCCGCAGCTGTTTCCGGAACCTCAGCCGGGATCCCCTGTTTCTTGATCCAGGCCCACGTTCCGTCCTGCTACCTGCATGCCTGCAACCGTTCAGCCTACGAGCAGCCTCGCAAGGAATGAGCAGTTCCTTTCCAGTGAAGTAGAAAGACAGAGCAGGACATAGCAGGACATCTGAAAAGCAGCGACATACACGTAAACAAGGCGGCGCAGGTCAGACTTGCAGCTAGCGACAGTCTGCGCATCGCTGCGCCATGGGCCTCACGGTCTCGAGGCTGTCACTGACTCGACCCCTCAGCGCTGCGCTGGTGCTCCTTGGAGCAATCTTCTGGCAGCGCAGAAGCTCCAGGCGCCTGGTTGATTTCAGCGCGCGGGGTGTTCAGGGTGGCGGCATGTTTTCCTGTATTTTAATTTTGTTTCGGCGGGCCTCGCAAGCAAGCAAGCCAGCAAGCAAGCACACAAGCAAGTAAGCAAGCAAGCAAGACAGAAAGTACGCAATTCTAAGCCATGCTCGCTTCAAAATAACAGCCTGCCAGCAAAAGCAGAGCGCGTATGGATCCTTGCGGAACTGATACAGACATTGTGGTTGCAAGCCGGGGGGGCTGTGGCTGCGCCCCCCCCCCCCCCCCCCGACCCCCCCCTTGATTTCAGCCCTGCCGCGGGCAGCGGGCAGCGGGCCGCGGCTAGCGCGGGTCGCGGGCCCGTGAAAGGTTGGGGGCTGGTTTAACAAATGTGTTCGGAATCGCTGAACGAGCGGGGGGGGGGGGGGGGGGNNGCTGAACCGGAATCGCCAAATGAGGGGCGTGTTTAAGATATATGATGAACCGGAATCGCTCAATCAGCGGGCATATCTAATTTATATGATGACTCGGATTTGACAAGTGAGGGGCGTCTGTAAGATATATCAGCTATGATGAGGGGCGTGTGTAAGATATAAGATGACATGAAGAACGCTTTTAAGTTGGTAAGTGATTAACCGAAATCGCCCGATGAGGGGGGTGTGTTGAAGATATATGATGAACCGGAATCGCTACATGAGGGGGCGTGTTTAAGATAACTGATGACCCGGAATCGCCAAATGAGGGATCGCCAAATGAGGGGGCGGGTTTAAGATATTTGATGAACCGCAATCGCCCAACGGGGGTGCGTGTTGAGTAGCTCTAAGGGGGGTGTCCAAGATTTATGATCAGCCATGATCAGCCGGAATCATCCAATTGGAGGGGGGGGCGGCGTGTTTAAGATATATGATGCACCGGAATCGCCCAATGAGGGGGAGTGTTTTAGATATTAGGTATGATGAGCCGGAATCGCCATGTGGGGGGTCGTGTTTTGGATATATGATGAACCAGAATCGCCAAGTGGGGGGCGGGTTAAGATATGTTATATGGTGTACCAGAACCGCGAAATGACGACGCGTATTACAGGTATACGCTGAACCCGAGTCGCCACATGAGGGGGCGTGTTCAAGATATGTGATGAACTTCCGATGAGCCGGAATCGCCAAATGGCGGGCGTTTTGAAGGTTTATGAGGAACCGGAATAGCTGAATGGGGGGGGGGGTGTTTACGATACATGTTGAACGGGCATCGCCAAATGAGGGAGGGTGTTTAGACAGATATGACGAACCGGAATCGCCAAATGAGGGCGCGTGTCTAAGATATATGATGACCTCATGAGGGGGGCGTGCGTTTGATTTCTGATGAACCGGAATCGCCAAACGAGGAGCATTTTGAAGATGTTATATCATGATCCGGAATCGTCATGTGAGGGGGCGTGCGTAAGATACAAGATGATTCGGAATTGCTCCGTTGGGCGCAGGGGCGTCTTTAAGCTATATGATGGACCGGTATCGCCCTACGAGGGCGGGAATCGCCAAATAAGGGGTGGGCGCTTTGACGAGATTTGATGAACCGGATCGCCAAATGAGGGGGCGTGTTTAAGCTATATGAAATATGATAACCCAAAATCGCCCAATGCGAGGGCGTGTTTAAGATATGTGATCAAACGGAATCGCCGAAGGAGGGGGCGGGTTTGAGTTATATACGACCCCGGATGAGGGGGCGTGTTGAGGATGAACCGGAATCGCCCAATGAAGGAGTGTGTCTGGGATATATGATGAGCAGGAATCGCCGAAGGAACTGGGCGGGTTTGAGATATATGGTGTACCGAAATCTCACTGGATCCCAACGTTGCCGGATCGTCATCAAAACCCAGATCTGCCCCAACCCAAACGAAATTCCTGCTGGTTACGCCATGAACCGAGCTTAGATCCCTAAGCAGTGCTATCTCATTTCAAAAACAAAAACCTAAACATGCAGAACTCATCTGGTGACCGATGCTCAGAATTGCAGACAACGACTGCACGTGGCCATTTGGTTGTTTTTCCAGTGCTTCGCAGGCGCGACGCTCTGTCCCATGCGCAGGAACCAGGCTGACAGTTTCTGGATGGTGAAGGGGCAGTGACTAATGCCATGCTGAAATTTTGCTTCGGAGTCCTGCAGGTTGCAAACCAACAGGCGAGTCCTCACAGAGTTCGAGCAGTTCGTGCGATGATGCAGAGGCAGCTGCTACTGTGCATCTGCGTATACACCGAATTTACAACACCATGACTGACGTTGCAAAACTGATTGATCAGTGCCTTCGCAGCGCTCAGCGAGGATCACGATTACAAAGATGCCACTTGCAAAGCTGTGTCGGAGAAGTTTGAAAGGTCAAGCGGCAATCGGCTTCTCCTTCCTTGCCGGAGCTTGAGAAACGGATCGCAATGAGGGTCGTGGCATCGTTCAGAATCCTTTGACGCGCCTGTGACACCGTGCTTCTCAGGCCGGCGAAGCCTTCGCCACGAGCCCAGACTTCGACCAAGACACTTAGACAATCCTCCTGCGCCCTTAGGCGGCCGGTGCCACGAGCTCGCTGGTGCAGCCCCTCCCAAGCGGAGATTTACATCTGCATGGACCGGGCCTTCTTCAGCTTAAATGCATTGCACTTTCTGGAGACCCCGTGCAAGCGGTCGCACTGGCAGTGGGCGGCTGCATGTCAGGACTTCGAATGGACATGTGATGATGGTGAAGACCGTCAGGCACGGCTCTACAGACATGTTCAATGTCACGGCTGTCATGTGCAGGGACGTTTCGATTGCACCATTGCCTCGCCTCACTTCGCTGATCGTGTGAATCAGACTAGTTAAGGTTCACAGCGATAACGTTGAGATCATCGAGTTTTCATTCGTGATCTACGATGCGAAGGAGACCGTTTGCAGCCCGTGTCGCCAATCCATCTCTTGCAAACATTGTGATGGCATTCAGGCACAAAGGATGGTCCTCGAAGGGCAGCACTACTGCAAGAATGTCAGGACGCCGCAGAGAACCGTCTGGACATTCCATTCTTGACTGATGCAGTCAGACACTACATCACATCTTGTCACGAAGCGCGAAGCGCAATACAACGCGATACAGTAAACCCCAACATGTCAAAATTTCAGCTTGCAGCCTGTTTGAGGAACTCGGTTTGGAAGAGTAACTGATTGCCATCCAGAGATGTTCTCGTACGCTGCAGTTGGGAGGCTTGTCACCGAAAGCTGATGAAATCTGCTTGCCAACGCAGAAGGACTCCTATTACAAGTTTCTGTACCGAGCTGACCGGCATCAGTGATGCAACGCTCGCAGATGCAGGAGCGCTGGGCTTTCGCTGATACTTGAGTTTTCGTGTGAAACTGTGCTGAGCAAGTCGTCTCAATCGCACCGACTGACATGACCTAAGATCTGCATCGGCAGGATCCCTTGCTGATGCCCTCCAAGCCCTTTGCAGCGCGCTGGACGAGGATCCACTGCGTGGAAGGCAGGTCCCTAGCCGCAAGAAGCCGCTGTTTCGGGTCAAGCTGGGCTTCGCAGCTCGTTTGGCTTTAGCTTGGGGCACGGCCCTCCTACAAGACAGCTTTCACTCATGTCATGAGGAGAATGGCGCAAACTCATCCATATTCAAGCTTGAGTTTAAAACCTTCGCAGCCACCAATTGACGCTTCTCGCTGTTCCTCTCAATCCAGTACTGCCGCATAGCGTATCGTCTAATCGCCTGATGCGGACTCTAAAGTATTGTCCAGACTTGCTGGTGACGCCCAACAGACATGAATGGCCGAACCTTCTGCATCAAATTTGCCTCCGACGCAGCTTGCGGCCCTCCATGCTGAGTACAGCCGTCACGGTCGCCTGGGAGACGATGGGACATCCGAGCTGAACTTTCACGAGTTCGTGGCATTGGCAACCGCGTTACAGCTTCCGCTGTCGAAGCAGAGCGAAGAGGAGCAGCGCAGTGTTTTTGCAGAGGTGGCCACAAGTGGTGGTGGAAGAGAAACCACTGTGTCGTTTGAAGAACTCTGTGCATGGATCGAGAAAAGCGCTTCAGCCGATGCCATTGCCTTGAGGCTCTTGACTCGGGAGGAGGAATCCGCATTTTCGGCAGGGTTGGTTCGGGCCGTGACAGGCCTGATTCGGCCGTTGAGTGGTGTGGCATTGATTCAAGCTATCATCGCAATGAAGTTCAAGCTTCTCTGGTTTGCGAAGTCTGCCACAGTTGTCGCGAAGAAGTGCATGATGTTTGCCAAGGCTAAGGCTTTCGTCTCTGCTGATGCAGCCGTAAGGAACCCGTGGCGTCTCTTTCGCCGACAAGTCTTCAGTCCACTGGATGCTTTTCGAGTTCATCCATCTGGAATCTGGGGTGCATTGCGCGAGGAGCACAATAAACGCGGAGTCCGAGGCATTGGACTTAAGACTACAGGTCCGTATCTAGCCAATGCCGTGGTTGCCATGTCCATGTTCCATACCTACACTTATGCGCGACTGTCCTTGCACATGCTAGCTGTGGAGCATCCCATGATCGCAGAGAGCCCTCTCGGATGTGAAGCGGCCGCTGCTTCTGCAGCTGGTGTCGTGCAAGCCACAATGCACACGCCTTTGTACAACATGCGATTGGGACGTGCAGAGAATATTGCTGCAGTGCAGCGGTTGGAGCACAAGGGGCTGAGCCAATCTCTTCGCGAATTGTATGGGAGAGGCGGGTTGCCGGGATGCTTCCGGAACTATCCTTTTGTTTTGGTACAGGAGACCTGCTCGTTGGTCACGTTTTTTGCAAGCTACGAATGGTTCAAGACGAACGCGACAATGCTTGTTCACCACCACGTAGATGCTTCTGGCGAGAAGGATGTTTTCGCATGGGCCTGGGCTGCAAGCCTCTCTGGCGTCGTCATGGTCGCGGTCGGCACGCCGTTTGAGAATGTGCTGACATGGCACGTCTCCAGAAGAGGTCCAAGCACGCCAAACAGCGGCTTGGTGTCGACAGAGTCGTATCCGGTAAACATGTGTCATGGTCATGAACCATAAACTGTACTTTGTTAAGCAGGACATGGCGTCGGTTTTAAGTTGTCTGTAGGCCTTAGAACTTAAAGCGCGCAAGACGGCGATCTTTGGTGAGGTGTTTTTGCGCACTTCGTTAAGTTCGGCATTTCCAAACCGCAGCCTGCCCGCCTGGTACTGTGGAGCGGAATGAGGATCGTGGGAGCTCCATAACCATTGCCCTGTTGTGGGAAGCGACACATCCAATTTCTTGTAGCACCCTGACCAGGAAGAAGCTGATTGGGGCTCCTTTGATGGGATTGCCACTGCTGGCCTATGAAGCTTTGATGTAACAGTCTTCATGCAGATTTCTGCAAAAGCATAGGGCATAGGGTTTTGTACAGTGCCGTCGTCTGTATCAGCGAATGTAGTTTTGTTAATGTTTTCTCTTGGGCCTTTGTCCTGCCTGCACTGAGGAGTTTATGATTCACAGAGGTTGGGCTCCTGCACTGCGCTAGCCGCGAGCGTCGTGAACATGTCTGACCAGCAGATTGTAGGGTGTTTCGGATGCCGGGAACAGTATTCTTGACGTCGGCATCGAACACCTGATGCCTCCACTTGCCTTTCTGATTGCCAAAGGCTGCAGTCACGATGGTGTTTAGGACCTCAGCAGATGAGCGTGGACAAAAGAGCTCCAGTACACTGAAACATCCCGACACCCGCGGTGGGCAGCCCTCTGCAATTTGGAGGCCCTGCTGCGCCGTGACCCATGGCAGCGCAGACCTGGAGCTGATCCTGCCAATGCACTGCAAGGCAGAGATGCGTTGACGTGACACAAGGGAAGCGCGCCCGCAGCCCATGCGGTCCAGCATGGCCCAGCAACAGGCATTGGGACTGGAAGTGCCCGAAGTGCTGAAGAGCCGCGGCTGCACTAGAGTCACTAGAGTCATGTCTCCAGGCGGATGCACGTAAACTTGCAAACCATGCCTACAGGTCCTATGCAGACTTACGACTTGCAGCGCAGAGACAAGTTCTGGCAAGTGGACAGCGAGGCAGGATGGCAGGAACGGCCGAAGTGCGAGAGTGCGGATGAGCAGAGTGGGGCAGTGGAGTCGTTGCTGCTAAAGAACCTGAGAGAAGAGGGGAGACTGCTGCAGGTGTACGTGCCTCGAGCTTGCGGGAGATTTGCGACTCGCTGCAAGTTGAAATGGTCGGGACGGAGCACTGTGGACTAGATGACTCGTGGATGGTCCTGCCACTTGGCTGTAGCCTTGGAAGCTAGTTAGCAGAGGGATGATTCAATGCTGCAGAAGAGCCCAACGGGATCTGCGAGTTGCCAAGCTGAGGTTAGCCCTTCAGCAGCTTCTGAAGTTGGGAACGCCCTTGCAACCGGTCAACTTCTTCGTTGCGACTCGCTTTCAGCGGCCGTACACTTTCGGCAGTCACTTAACCCATCGCATCGTCAAAGGCGCTGCATGCTAGACTGCTAGAATCTACTAGATCTTTCGGCTCGCCGACCAAGGAGACTGATTCGTTTCTTGCTGGAGAAAGACAGGACGGCCCCGACTGAACATCATCATCCAACCTTTCGGTGGGCTGCAGTACGGCATGCTTCGTCTGTCAGCTGCGCAGGACTCGCGACTCTGCCTGGACGGGCTTCCCTTCCACGCACTTTCTGCAGCTGCTTGGTCTTGAAAAGACGCCTCGCTAGCCTCGCATCGCCTGCCAGAAATGTCAGCTGCACCTCAGGATGTGTCAGCCTGGATGGAGACATATCTCGGTGAGGCACACGAGAGAAGACGCAAGAGCGCTGTGTGCAGCTCGAACTTCCAGTGTTGTCGCAATCTTGAGCACGAGGCGGCAGTAAGGAAGAGTTTGCTCTACATCGCGCGAACCCGATCGAAGCAAGAGTCATGCCGCCTGTGTTCTCATGGGGAAATAAGGTCATCGGAACTGATGGCCGCGCTACAGGAAGGGCAGTCATCCGATTCTTGGACGGCTGGGAGGCCCACAGCTGGAACAAAGACGAGTATTGCATGCATGACCATATGCGTTGGGCTCCTGAGTGCCTCCATATGACTTGAGAGGCAGCTGCTCGAGCACTTCAGATTCTGTCAGGCCGGGTGATGCGAAGCGTTTCTTCACAGCCATTGAGTTTGTGATGCAGGAGGGAAGCTCATGGTATGCAAAGCCAGCGACGAGCATCGCTACAACGAGTCTAGCTGGCAGTTGCAGTGTGACAACCGAAATCGTGTGGGTGTGCGGTATGGCTGTGGTGTCAAGAGTAGTTTTTCAGAGTCCACGAATGCCGCCCGACAAGGAACGCTTGATTCTGACGCGTCCGCTAAGAGAAGACGAGCTTCGACTCAGCTTCTTGGAACAGCTGCCCTGCAGCATCGAGGACGCTCCTGCGCTTGCGCCAGGGACCCAGCTGTAACCCGTGCAACCCATCGTCGGCGTAGTTTTCGGTGCTTGCTTTCGGCGCAGGCCCTTTCCCAGAGCGCCGAGCGATCTTGGGAGAGGCACGGGATTGTGTCGACTGCACCAGCAAGCCTTGAGAAGATGGAGATGCGACGAGTACCAGGTAAGAAGTACTGCTTCGCTTTCCAGGAGGACCCCGGTGGTGACCACAGTCATAGGACATGGAGCCTCCTGAAAGGTGATGAAGTGTAGTGTAATCATATGTACGCCTTCTGCTGGCCCTAATACTTCCAGGACCGCTGCAAGAACGGAGACCGCTGTCGGTATGTTCACGAAAAAGCCCCAGGCCGAGTGCTCTGATACGTTCGGAGACATGCAGCAAGAGTTACTGTTGCGATTGTTGTCCCGTCAGATGGGGTCATCAAGTACCCCAGCAAGAATTGCCATGACTTTCAGAAGGGGTTCTGTTCTCGCGGGGAGCAATGTCACTACAAGCAGCTAAGCCGCAACTAAAGCCAAGGCTCCATTGACATGTCGCATGCAAAGTGCGTCCTCAAGTGGTCCTTCTGTGTTGGCTTTGCAGCAATTTTGCCAACACGTGCAACTAGCAGAGCGAGTATATCTGTCGTCTTTGCTTCAGCAGAGGCACCAGCTGACGAACGGGCGGAGCTGAAGCTTTGCTAGAATCGCGCTGTGTACCCGTGACTCGCCGCGAAAGCTTATTGCATAGATCCGCAGTCCTTGCCGCATGCAGCAGCCCGAACACACGAAGTTTTTTTCCTCGAGGTCTCGAGCAGCCGGCAACAACTCGGAGAAATCTCAGCGCCGCAGAGATCCGTGGCGCCGGCAACACAAGTTGAAGGCGTGAGAAGCTGCGAAGCTCTCCGAGGTCTTTGACTAAGGCTAAGGTCTCGTGTCTGGTCATCTGGTCAAGAGGTCGGAGCAGGTGAAGGCCTGAGAAAGTCGGGCGGGACAGGCCGGGCTCTCTGTCACCGGATGCCGGTGACCTGCCCGCTTGGCAAGAAAAGAGCGGTCTGCCTGCTTCGCACATGCCAGCTCAAGACTAAGATTACGGAAAGTCTTCAGCCAGACAGTGTGACTTTAAGATTTATCCTCTGCGTAGGCAGCCGACGCAGCTACGGATCATTCTATGCCATATGGGACAGCGACGAGCTAAGCTGTAGCATCCGTGCTTTTATCACGTCCATGCTCCTCCCGGTATCTCGGGTCTGAGTCGTGCAGCAAAGTGGTTCTTCTGCCAGAGAGGTCATGTCCCCTGCGCCATCTGGCGCAAACGTGGCACGTGAGCTGCAGGACCCAGCTTAACTTCCAGCCACCCATGGCCACAGGAACACTCTGAAAGCAGCAGACGTAGAGCTGCATCATGGATACACGCAGGACTTCTTCTTGCGATCACACTCGCTGCGGGCAAACACCTCGGAGTGGACAGCTTTCATACGCTGCGTTGCTCGGAAAGCCAGCGCACATCAGTGGATCCTTGCTGTGGTGTGCATGGACTCAACAATGTAAGGATTGCTGCGTTGCTTGCTTATCGTTCCGCACATTGCCACAATCCATCGCAAGCGTGACCACTAGAATAGCTCCATGAAGAGCGCAGAAATATCCGAAGCGCAGGAAGAGCACAGCAGAATTTTCGCAGGCAAGGCAGCCCGGGCGTGTTCGTGAGATGTCAAGCGGCTCCCCATCGTCGAGGGCAGTGTTTCCAAGCAGGACTTGGTCAACGCCGTACCCTTTCAGTTCACGCGAGCCTTTCTAGAACTTATCTTTGGAGCATACATACACCAAACCCTGTGCACAACAATGTAGCTGGAGCTTGTAGGAAGCGTCGTTCACGGCAGTTTTAGATTTGACCCACGGGGCCAGGCGACAACGAGCAATTGTTAGTGCAGAAGCACCGAGAATCAGAGCAAGAGGCAGAACGTCCGACACGGAGTGACGGGCAGCAAGCACTGCACTCAAGACTGTACGCGAAACCTGAAGCTGAAGCTAGTGGTGGTTATCAGAAGCACAAGGCGGTTCAGAGGGAAATCGGAGTGTGCGTGTTTGACGCGTGAGGGGGCGTTTCGTTACGGCCCAACTTGGGCCATGAGCAGCCGCCAGCCCAGCTTGGGTCAGAAGAAATCACCAAGACTCGCCAGTACAACTATATGCAGACAACATTGAGCTCTCTGCCTCCCTTGGATGAGTATTTCGGGTGCTTCCAAGCGGCGAGATTCATGTTGCAGAATTCGACCACGTGGAATCTGGAAAGAACCACGTCATGAGCGGGAAGGAGCACAGTCAATCCAGCCAGCCAAACCTGAGTTCCGGAATCAGTGCTCCTTGCGACAAAGGTTCTCCCTGGTGCTCGCGAGTGCTGACCTTAAGTGACTGCGAGAACTGGAGAGACAGATTCTTCGGACGTTTCAGGTTTGCTGCATCTGCTTCGAGCCTCTTCGGGGCATTGCAGGACGCTTTTGACTTCCAGGCTGGGGCAGTCGCCAAATCCCCGAACTTCCATGAACTTCCTTGAACTCCCTTGTCTAGAGGATGACAGCGTCAGAAACCAGTTCGAGCACCTGCTCTCGCTGCTGCAGTCGCACTCTGCCTTAGTCATGGCCTGAACTTCGTGAAATTTGCGATGCACTTCTGCGTAGTCACCTGCATGTCCGCGGTCTTTGCAGGTGGCCGACCGGGATGTGCAGGATGAGGAGGAGGTAGACCTGAGAGCAGCTCGTGAGACACGAGAGTCTGGTGTGTTGCCGAGTGCTGTGGTTTCTGGCACAGGCTAAGAAATGTTTCGTATTGAGTCTTAACGCGACTGCAACTTGCAGCCGAGCAGTATCCCTACAGCCGGATATAGCAGTTTAAGACAGCCATCAGTCAACGATGATGTGTGAGCCAGAAAGCCAGACCGTAAGTCATGAAGCACAACGACAGGATCTGGCAACAGAAACAACAAGCTCTGATCGGCGACGGCAGTTTCAAGAGTGCGATACTGGACAGTCTCTTAAACGGTTAGAATGGGGCGAGGTAGTGCAGTGCTGGGCGAGAGGACTAAGAACTTCGGGCATGCGACAAACAGGTTCGGGAAGACCATCTGCTCACCTCAGCGCTGGGGGAGCTTCACACGGAGCTGCTGCAGGAGCCAAGCGGAGAATGGGGGGGCCTCGTCTGGCTGTCCCTAGTAGTCTCCATGGCCTAGGCAGTTTGTCGGCTCTGCGACTTGCAGGGATTCCGTCGCTGGCGCAGCACCTGCTGTAATTCCGATGACTTCGACATGCCCGAGAGACGCGAGGCAACGCACTCACCCTCTCAGTCTGCTTCACTCAAGCTCCCAAACGTTCAAGACTCGCGAAGTGCCCCGTTTGCTCAGCCCTCGCGTGCTGCCTTTTTCGGTCGGCCGAGGGCACATTGCCGCCACTGGCGGGAGCTCGCTGGAACCCCCTGTTAGAGACCTGGTCCAATCGCGAGATTTCTCGGATTAGGAACATCTTCGATTACTTGAGGCCGGCGTCCCTCTACGGAGGTCGATCCGACGATGCTCTCGAAGCCTCAAGGCACCGAAGGTCTCCTACGGAAGTTCAGATTGCCCATGAGCTTGCGCAGGCAGCTGGCGGAGATCACAGCATACTTGTCAATAACTCAGCATCCAAAACTTTCTGCTTTGAGACATGTGCAAGGGCAGTATCATTCTGATTCAGCTCTGATGGGACATCCTAGCCCATCGTAGCCTGTCGTTCGCTGCTGAGGCTAGTTTGGGGTGAGGGCGGAAATGTCCGTTTCATGCCAGAGGCCAGCATGGCACCACTTTGAAAGCAGAGCTCAGTCCAACTCCTTTCCGTCCTGCAAGGTTATATATTTCCTGACGGAGATGGCCCTCGCGGCGGTCTGCAACCTTGGGCCTTCGACTCACCTTCTTTAGAGTTCTGTGCAGACTGAAGGAAGCCCCGGGAACAGCCGGGTTGTACGGAGGAGCCGGAGGGCGACTCCTCTGAATTTCACTCTGCAGTTGTATCTCCATGCCCGGCTCTGCAGTATTTGCCAGTCGCTCCGATGGATCCTCATTTCGGAGCCGGAACTTCCTGGCAAAGGCGATGCGTTCCTCGCCCTACAACGCCGCTTCGACTCGTCATGATGCAAAGATCTGCAGGTCATCCGACCGATCTACAACGTGGTCTTCGACGAGTGGTGACCGCTCTTGAACAAGTTTCGCGAATCGCTGGCAACTTGTAGATGTTGCCACTGCAGGTACGAGAAGGTTGACAAAAATGGCCAAAAGGACAGGAAGATCCTCCACAAGGTGCTCCATCGCGGGGATAAGCCCTAACATTTGACCCGCATGGGTCGGAGCGTTGGTGATTCATTGCTTTGCAGCCTTTCAATGATTGGTCGATGGAGAGACCTCCGTGCTTTTCTCATCTGGACCTTCGTCGATCAGGGATACGAGGCCTTCCTGCCTCCAGATGTTGCCAACTACGATGCCAGCATCCTACAGAAGCTAGCGCAGGCGGTGATTTGAACCAACACGGTTGACATTGGACTTACATCAACACTCCCATGTGCACACACACACACCCAGCTCCGAGCCGTGCTGAGGATTGGAACGAGCTCTTTTGCGACCCCAAAAGGCTCTATTCCACCATGGTCTGCCAGGACATCGCAGCCAGTGGATTTTATCGGATTCTGTGCCCCGCCCACACACACACACACACCCAGGTTCTTTGCCGAGAAGCTTTTTCGTGATGCCACTTCCCGCAGCAGCGCTTTGCAAAGCTTCTTTCAGTCAGCCTTTGAGAGGACGGGGAGAAATTCTGCGAGATCGAGCATGGACGTCGCTTTGCCAATTTGCACAGAGTCGCCAGCATCTCAAAGGTTCAGCTTGTAAAACCCTGCACGCACCAACGCAGGGAAGATGCCTTCAGAGATTCTGGCAAGGCTTGGGAATGGACACTGGATCGCTTCGAGACCAAAACCCACCGCGAGGCTGGAATCATGATCTGCGGATGTGTTGCTCTTTGACCCTGTTGGGAACTTTCGACTTTCGTTCCGAAGAGAACTATCTAAGGCTGTGCGGCTTCAATGCCTCTAAGCCCGCCCTAGTATGTCAACGTCTTTACTCTTACTTCACGACACACAAGGTCGTGTTTGAAGACAGCTCGCAGACGGCAAGAGTGGACAATTTCTGTGGCTGGGTACAGCCCGACAAAGATGGAGACCGCATCTGGCAAACGCATCCCGAAAACCAATGCAAATCACCATCACGAAGAGAGCCAGTGCAGCGGTCTCTGCGCAACCTCAAAGTATCTGCCGCTGCTCCACGTATTGTCTTGGATGGAGGTGCACTCGCTTTGGGGTTTCCTGGCCTCCACTCACAGAGTGTGGCTTGTGAGTGTCCGGCTCGCTTATGGGCGTTTTTCAATACTAGTTGAATATTAGTATCAGGCTTGAAATTCCGTCCAGGGCTAGGCCGCTAGGCCGGTACCACCGCGCACTGCAGTGGCCAGGCATGAGCTTTTGTTCGCCACCGGCTTGACTCTCACGCCTGCATCTGAGAACCAGTGTTTAGGCACTGACCTGCTGGGGTGCACATGTTCGTCGGAACCGATATGAAAGTCAGAAGAGTGCCAGAAGGATCGCGGACCCGGCTCACATCCAATTCGGCCACGTGCT